ACGGCGTTCTAGGTAACGGAATAATCTAATGATTACTTTTCCCGCCGTTGCAACGCCGTTACCGTTACTGGGGACGGAAGGTTGTGCGTTACTATGTGCTTGTCGAACGTTGAGCAGCAGTGTGAGGCTTTCTGACCGCCACACTTCAGCTGCAGCCAGGGAGAGAGAGGTCGGTAACGCGCTTACAAACACCAAGATGATTGGCCGGGTGGCCGGAGACCCTCAGTGTCACTGCCTGCTATAGACCCAACAGAGCAGTGATGGGAATAACGCCGTTTAAAATAACCGCGTTAATAAAAAAAATATTTATTTCACTAACGAGCAAACTAATTAATTACCGTCTTCTTTTATCAAAACATCGTTTCTGTTACTGATAAGGACATGCGTGCGTTAAGCAGCGCGGTGTATTGAAGCTGTCATCAGCTGATCAGGAGCTAAAGAGGCAGATGTTTCATCCAAGCGCATCACGGCCGTGAAGAACGAGGAAGACGTGATGAATATCTACGGCTGCAGGTGTGGATCTGCAGCCGTGTCCTTCTTAGCGTGTCAGCGGGACGTCCCGAAGGTCCGCTCACCTGTTCACCGCTCAGACGTCCTGATCTTCTACCTTCCTAGATCATCCAGCTGTAACCGGTTCCTGATCATGTCTTTAGTCCCGCTGTAACGCTGATGCATCAGTCTCAGACGTCATGGAGCTCAGGTGTCATCAGAACTACCTGTGTGTGTTTACCACCCAGCTTCAGCTCTTCTGTGTTTGGGTCTGACCCACGTTAGTAAATGTAAGTCCTCCATCAGGCTTGTGCCTCTTCTAGTGTCATTTTAAAGGTTTTTATTTATTTATTTTACCATGACTAGATTACCAGCAACAGAAATGCTGCTAATAACAATTATGTGAAGCTGGAAAATTAGAATACTGTGCAAAATTACATTTATTTCAGTAATTTAACTAGACTGAGAGACCATTTAAAGGCTCGGGAACCTTTACAGGTGTTTGCAGTTATAAATTTTAGCTGATTGGGGTCTTGTTAAATATCACACAGTGACCTTTTAATAGTCTAGATAAGTGTAATGCTCCTGTTAGTAGTTCCTCCTGTTAAGTGCTTATTTATTTAAATTATTCAGGTTTATAAAAAACATTTTGACATACATTTTATTATGTTCCAGTCATTAGTCATTTATATTTCACTATTGTAGTAATTCTTGCATGCTTTAATGTAAAAAGTAACTAAGTAGTTATTTTTCTTGGTAATTGGTTACTTTTATGATCTTGTAACTCGGTTAGTAACTGAGTTACTTTTTTGACAAAGTAATCAGTAACTATAACTAATTACTTTTTTAAAGTAACGTTCCCAACACTGCCAACAACAAAAACCAACATGAACGTTCATACTTTGAAGCAGTAAGGGTGCATAAAACCAAAATAGTCCGAGCCCAGTGCGCTCTGCTCTGATTCGCTGTGATGCTCACCTGTTCCCGCCACACACCTGCACCTGTGGGGTTGGCTCTGAGCTGAGGAAGAGCCATGTGGTTCTGTTCATCTTCATCACAGACAACAGCTGCTCACACAGGTTTGTGTTGCGGTGTGTTGGGGAGGAGAGATTAAAGCTGCAGCAGTCACAGGTTCATACTCTGACTTGAGTGTGTTGCTAAGCTGAAGTTCAACCAGCTCCTTGGTTGGTTGGTGCGCTTTCTCCGTCAGCCACAAACGGATTACTGAGTGGCTGAAATCTTCACTTCTGGGCTTCAGAGTCGGAACACTGCTGGATAAACCTGCCGCTGAGTCAGTTTGTCTGAGACTGAGGAGGTAATGCTGCTGAGGCCGATAGGATGCTAATGAATGTAAACAGGAAGGAGCGCGTTGACTGACGCGCTTATGCTGCAAAGCACTTTGAGATTTGTAGTCTTTGGGGCGAAACTGGCCACTCCTTCTGTATGGGAACATTCTAGATATATTAGATATGTTCCCACACAGAGGACTTCAACCTCTTCCTAGGTGGAAATGGAGCAGTCCCGATGGTTGCCACTGGTTCTGCTTCTGCTGCGTGGGACACCATGGGTAAGGGAGGTGGTGGAGGACATAAACTCTGAGACGGCCACAGAGAGAGATAAGAGGAGAACCACTCCAGAGCAGATCCTGATAGGCCTACCCAGTCTCTCAGCCTCTCCAGTAGCAGGTGATGGTCAACAGTGTCAAAGGCTGCAGTCAGGTCCAGCAGGACCAGAACCAGAACCCTGCATCACTGTGGGTCAGAAGGTCATTAGAGACCCTAAGAAGAGCTGTTTCAGTAGAATGAGCTCTACGAAAACCTGACTGGAAGCTATCATAGATGTTCTGTTCATCAAGAGCAGCTGTGAGTTGTTTAGCCACAACCTTTTCCAAGATCTTGGAGATGAACGGAAGTTTAGAGATGGGTCTGAAGCTGCTATGGAGAGAGGGGTCCAGACTCGGTTTTTTAAGAAGCGGGTGGATTACAGCGTTCTTAAAGTAAGCAGGGACCTGACCAGAGACCAGAGAAGCATTAATTATAGAGAGCACGCTGGGACCGATGGACTGAAAAGCACTTTTAAACAAAGATGAGGGTAAGATGTGGAGGGGGCATGCAGAGGTCTTCATAGACAACAGAACTAAAAAGGGTTTTTTCTGGTCACATAATCTGTAACATCCAGGGCTAGAACAGCACGCACACACACACAGTTTGTCATGTCTAGCTGACGCTATAGCTAACACACATGTACATGGAGGACGTCTCTTTGTTAGCAGCTTTGGAAACGTGAAAACGTCGTAGTGTGATACACGTGTCAGCCACTAGATGGTGCCATCAGATTAAAACATAATCCAGGCGTCTCCTTTCAGAGGCTGCTGGGAACTGGAGGGGAGTGTGCTGACTGGTGGACATGGGGACGTTGGTTGTTCTTCAGCATCTGAAGGAAACTATCCTGTTAGCTCCATCTATCGTTTGTAATTCATCTTCTGAGCCATGTGAACAGCTGCAGTTTAAACGAAGGAGAATCAACAGCTTCATACTCGTTACAAACGAGGCCAGACTTGGCCTTCATCGAGGGACGAGCTCGGATATCCAGGAGAGATTTTGGAGTAGGGTTAGGGTTAGGCCAGCAGGAGGCCCCCGGGTCGACCCAGGACTCTTCCATGTTGGAGTGGGAATGCCTGGGAATCCCACTGGAGGAGCTGGATAAGCCTGAATCCTTCCAGACTCATTTGGTCTGTTATGGGAAGAGTCCTGAAGGTGTTAGGAACGCCGCTGGCCTCTTTTATCAAACATTGGTAGAAATATTCCAGTATTCCTTCCTATGAATGATCAAAATCCTGATTCATGAAACATGCGGTGGCCTCTCGTACGCACGCTCCTCCGCACTCGTCCGATGGTAAATCCCACCTGTGCTACCCAGGTGCTCGTGTCCGTTCAGTCATTTCCATACAGGAACGCTTCATTTAACCACCATTCCATATTTCCTTCTTCCATCTCAGGAGCATTACTGAGCTGAGTCCCATTCTGTCCCGCTCTGAACTTGAGATTATCATTCAGTCTGGTTACCGTGGCAACGCGTGTATGATCAGTCATTACACAGGTGTCTCTTATAGGTTCCAGCTCCAGCCATGTGACTCAGCTGGTTTTCCCCTGAAACGATGATTTAATGGGTGAAATATTAGTGGATAACTGAGACCTTCGGTGTTGCAGTTCCTCCGTTCTACCACTAGATGCCATTTGTGTGCTCTGAGATTTTCTGTTATTTAGGAGCTGGGGCTGGGCAATAAGTAGAGAATTTATCGTTGTTGACATTTCTGACTCTTGTGGAGATAATGTTTCCCACGTCAATAGATCTGATAGTAAAACATGAGAAGATGTGTGTAGGCTGGCAGCATTCATGTCTGTTGAAGAAGCTGCACCACCTGAGTCACATGAAATTGTGACTCAGCGTAACACCTGCGGCAGCCCCATCTAGTGGACAGCTTTTGTTCCTGCACTCACCTGTAGTTATCGTCCGTTTACCGTTATCGAGGTGGAGTCCCCAGTGTATGGTGACACTGATTCTAGGCCACATCGCCCAGCCCTGCTCTTCAGGCCTCAGTGGGTTCTGCTTCCTAAAGGTTCTGTTTAATTTGGTTTTCAGCCTGAAAGAGATCGTTCTAATCGTTTTTACCGGTAGCACCCCCCCCCCCCCCCCCCCCGAAGACATTTTACCGGTGAATGACGTGGTCGTCTAGCTTCATCATCTGGCTGCTTTGGTCCCTCTCTTCAGCAGCAGACCAGTCTGGTTGGGAGTCAGACATCTTTGTTCATCTGAGCTGACCGACAGGATGATCAGAGGCGCTTGTGTGTGTGTGTGTGTGTGTGTGTGTGTGTGTGTGTGTGTGTGTGTGTGTGTGTGTGTGTGTGTGTGTGTGTGTGCGTGTGCAGTGTCTTCCTTACATAGGTGTAGGCGTGGTGGCCTGCCACGGCTGAAATCCCAGCGCCACGCCTGCAAGATCCCAAGTTTTATTGATTTTATTTATTTATTTATTTTGTGCCGTTTCCCGAAGAAGCAGCGGGAACTACTCTGTTGTTGCTTGTGATCACAGCCGGCAGGCAGCAAGGAGGAGGAGGCAGGGCAGGGTGGTTACAGCTAGGGATGAGCCGGATACTCGTTTTCAGCATTTTTGACGAATACGAGCATGAAACGAGTACAACTCGTAAATATCTGTAATCGTGCTGAAGGAAAATCCTCATCGGGTAACTGACTGCCTTCACGCTCTGTGATTGGCCAGACACACACACACACACACACACAGAGACAGTAACGGATCTCTCTGTGTTTGCTTCACTGTCGCTCACGTTTCTTCGGTACTCCCTGGGTTTTCTTCAGCTCGCCTCTTTTTCAGTTGAATATTTAAAGTTACTCGTTTAGTAACGTGTGGTGCGTTTGACAAGAGAGAGCTGACAATGGCTCGTGCTGCGTCGGTCACTGCCTCCGCTCCGGTCGGGTATTTTAAATTATTTTCTCTCTCTCTCTCTCACACACACACACACACACACACACACACACACACACACACACACACACACACACACACACACACACACACACACACACACACACACACATACACACACACACACCTCAGTCAACATTGTTTTGTTTAAGTGTGTGTGGGAAAAATGCCAACAACGTTAGGAAAAAATCAGTTTAATCAAATGAAAATAAAACGGTTCTAGTATTTCATATTTCATGGTTCCTACTGCATGAGTTCAGATGCATTAGTTTATGCTCTTAAATATTAATGTTCTGATTTTACTGAAAACGTGTTCTGTAATACTTCCTTTACTATTGTGATCAAACATATTTAATCTCTATTCTGAGGCTGCTCTATAAACACCTCACATAGCAACTTCTGATTAATCCATATGCATTTCAGATTTAAAATAATGTATTGATGTAAACCACACCCACTCATTTCCAAATAATAAATAAGAGGTGCAGTCATCTGTGTGTCTGATCCGCATTAGTGATGTTTTCAGCACCAGAACAATGAAGCAAAGAAAGATTCCTGAGTTTATGTTAGTAATTTTATTTATCAGGTGCATCTGACCTGTTCTAGTTTTCTCTGAAATGAGATCAGACCAGTGCTTCTATGGGTCGTCTCCTCTCTGCACTAGAAACATGTACTTTATTATAATGTTCACTGTAATGCATCTTGATGTTCTTAACAAATACATTAAATCAAAGATATTGGTCAATAATGCCAAATATGTACATTTGTGTTTCAGTCATTTTTATACTGGCTTAAAAATACTTCATTAAGTCTACTGAGCAGGGGTGTAGAAGGTGTTTAACAGGACCAGCCCGGTAATGGTCTTGGACCTAAATAAAGGGGGCAGAAGGAGATGTTTTTCCAGACGACAAGAAAAGTTAAATGCCAAATACCCGTACAAAGTGTGTCACTGAGAGTTTCAAACAAAAATGATTCTTGTGCAAATATTGGTGTATTTACCTTTAATACTAGTTATTAAAATGCAGCAGGTGCTGGATTAGTGCAGTTCAGAGTGGAGTGCATCAAATAAAACGAAATTAACATAAAGGTGATCCGTGTCCCCGTCCCCCCCCCCCCCCCCCCCACCCCCCCCCCCACACACACACACACACACACACACACCACCACCACAGCTGGGAAAATCCCTAGGGGAAACACTGGTGTGTGTGTGTGTGTGTGTGTCTGTACATGTGTGTGTGTGTGTGTTTATGTGCATGCATGCGTGTATGTGTGTGTGTGTCTGTACATGTGTGTATGTGTGCGTGTGTGTTTATGTGCATGCATGTATGTGTGTGTGTGTATGTGTGTGTGTGTGTCTGTACATGTGTGTGTATGTGTGTGTGTGTCTGTACATGTGTGTATGTGTGTGTGTCTGTACATGTGTGTGTGTGTGTGTGTGTGTGTGTGTGTGTGTGTGTTTATGTGCATGCATGCGTGTGTGTGTGTGTGGTTTTGAAACAGCAGTGAGACAGACTCACTGTGCGGGGGAGTTGAGAGGGGGGGGGGGTTGTAGGGCGGAGCCTGCTATCCATTCATCACCAGAAGGTTCTGTTTCTGATTGGCTGCCTGCTCTGCTAGAGAGAGCGTGTGATGAGGGAAAGGGGAGGAGCATGTGAGCATACTGACACATCAGAGCGAGAGAACAACAGAGGAGCTATCTGAAGAGCAGAAGGAGGGTCGAAGGGAAGGAGGGAGAGGTCTCGTTCTCCCGTCAGACGGAGAGAAGCACGCCTCCACTCACCCTGCAGCTGTGCTGATCTCCTCCCTGTGAAGGCTGCAGGAGGAGGTGGCGGAGATGAGGAGCTGACTGTTGTGTGCGACAGCGACTGGCTGGAACCAGATTGAGTCTGGCCCAGCCCGTTGGCATAGAGATGGAAGCAGGGTGCCCCCTCTATCAGGAGAGTGCCGCTAGCAAATTAACACTTCGTCTGCCGCCCAGCGAGTCCAAACTTTCCACCCATCTGTACTGAAGAAGCTCCTCAGTCGCACTTCTGCTGCAGAACCTTCTGGACCTCACTACAGCTTGGACGGGTACCGCCCCATCATCCTTCAGCCCCTCTGCCTTGTCTGTTCTCCTGAGAATGGACCAGACCGCTGCCTTAAGGGTGGGGGCAGAGCAGGAGGCCTGTGTCTGGTTCTGATCCGATGGATCGGGAGCAGAGAGGATGCCCGTTCGGTCCAAGCAGAAGCAGGACCTTATCTTGGTGTGCAGGATCTTATTGTGACTCCGCTGAAAGCCTTGGATGAAGGAAATCTGGACCTTAAAGTTGGAGACCTTCCTCTGATCATGTAATTCTCCTCGGACACCTTCAGTAGACATCAGAACCCGACGCCACATCCTCATCATGGATGACTCCAGTATCTTGAGGCGCAGAGGTCTCAAGGTAGGTCTTCTACTGGTTACAGGGTCAAAGGTCAGAGGTAGCATCTTTAACCTCACTCTGTGACTGGTTGTGAGAGTGAAGAGGCTGCAGGAACAAATAAGCTTCCTGAACTCGGGCGTCCTTATTCCTGCCAGAGGGACGTTTGTCAAAGTCAGCGTGTTCAATAGATCGTTATCATAACGGCGTACATCAACACGTCAGCTGAACCCGAGTCTTCAAAGAGAAAAATGATGCTTGTCTGGAGGTGTCGTCCAGTCATGGGCGTAATTTTGGGGGAGGACGGGGGGAGACATGTCTCCCCCACTTTTTCTAAGGTAAATTTTTGTCCCGTTCACTTTTTACTGTCCAAAAACAATATTACGCTACGTTACGTAGACTGGTTGAGCTCTAGGACCCAGAGTTCAGCCCATGCCGGCTGGGTCACCCCCTCTTCTAAAGTCAAAACTACTCCCATGCCTCCGGTCTTCTGTCTAGTGTGAGCAGACACTGCCCCCCCCCCCCCAAAAAAACCCCTCAACGAACATGATTCACCGGCGCAAGTCCGACTGAACTGGTCGGGCTGACTCGGCTCCAGTCGGGTCTGAGGTTAAACTCCAGCGCTCAGCCCTGAAGTACCACATAAAGGCAGACCAGTATGTCCCACTTGGTAAATGTGGAGGACAGGCGGGTTCGGATGCTACCGGTTAAACAAACGAAAGTGCGTTCCACTATAATCGATGATGGCGTACTCGTCTACGATGCAGAATGGTTTCTGTCTGCGTCTTGATGCGTGGATTATGAGATTATTTTCCTCGGCGCTGCGTTGTGACTTTGAGCGAGACACTTAACCCGCCCTGCCTGCTGGTGGTGGGTTAGGGTGTAACGTGATTGTTAACAACCTGTGAATTGAAATAAATCATGTTATGAGACCAAAATGAGAATCGTTTGGCGTAAAAATCTCAACTTCTTCATGAGACCTTGTAGCTTGCAGCACATAAGGGAGCGGAGAGGAATGTCGTGTCTGACTCTTCCCGATGGCGAGGCCAGGGAAGGTAAACAGGTCTGTTTTATATGGAGGAGCATGCAGTATTCCTGGCAAAGGAAGCTGCTGCACACTTGACTGACCTTTGACCTCTGACATTGCTGTGGACAAATAACCTTGTTGGACTTTTCCAATGGTACCCTTTAATACGGCCACTCCTGCTTTGATTTTCTTGTCACACACACACACAAGTTTGGATTGATACACTTGTGCACGACGCCACATCTGTTACCTGGTCCTGTTACCTGGTCCTTCTCAATTCTCTTTCTACCCGTTTTTTTTCTCTTTTTCATATACTCTATTCTATCTTTCTCGTTTATTCTTTATTTTGTCTTTCTATTTTGCTCTCTTACTCTTCATCGATACGAACCAACAACTGGAGGGGAGTTTTTGAATGACATGCGCCGGCCCGTGCATTGCCAGTGAATTCCTAATCCAAACTGTTTTGGTCAAGGTACTGATTCAGGGGGATGTCACTGTGATACATCTACTCAACCTAACCACAACCAATACTGGTCGAACCTTAACCCTAACTAAAAGTTAATTCACACCTCTAAAAGCAAGCCTCAGAGGGGTTTCCACTATGGGGACCAGCCAAATGTCCCCACAATTTCAAAATGTTGCTGGGTCCTAGCAGACTTATTCAGCTCTGGCGCTAACGACCGTCATCCTCATTTGAATTGATGGTTTGAATGCGGTGAAACGACCAGCTGCACCTCCGCGCTGTAAGTATGTTCCCGGCTTCACCTACGACCACATAAGCAGCGCTACTTATGAAGCTAACCGCCCAGGGAAGCCATCCGAGATCTGCGGCGTCGGGACTGCAAGGCAGCAGAGTGAATGGAACGTCACCATGGCAACGCTTCCGGCTTCGGAGACGACCACCTTTCCTTAATTATATAGATGATGATGGTAATAATAATAATAACTATAATAATAATATGATGATGTAGTAATGAAAAAATAATAACAATAATATTAATATAATAAATATTATGATAATGGTAATAATACTAATGATGATGATGATTATGGTAATAATGATAACAATAATAATAATATGATGATGTAGTAATGAAAAAATAATAACAATATTAATATTATAAATATTATGATAATGTAATAATACTAATGATGATGAGGATGATGGTTATAATGATAACAATAATAATAATATGATGATGTAATAATGAAAAGAATAATAACTGTAATATTAACATTATAAATATTATGATAATGTAATAATACTAATGATGATGATGATGATGGTAATAATGATAACAATAATAATAATAATATGATGATGTAATAATGAAAAAATAATAACAATAATATTAATATAATAAATATTATGATAATGGTAATAATACTAATGATGATGATGATGATGGTAATAATGATAACAATAATAATAATATGATGATGTAATAATGAAAAAATAATAACAATAATATTAATATTATAAATATTATGATAATGTAATAATACTAATGATGATGAGGATGATGGTTATAATGATAACAACAATAATAATAATATGATGATGTAATAATGAAAAAATAATAACAATAATATTAATATTATAAATATTATGATAATGTAATAATACTAATGATGATGAGGATGATGGTTATAATGATAACAATAATAATAATATGATGATGTAATAATGAAAAGAATAAT